GAGAGCGAGGGGGCAGTCAGTTCGATCACAGTACTTGCGTCCTGCGTCCTTGTTTCTGACAGACAACATACATCAATACAGAGGGAATCCAGCGTACGCGCAGGAGCCACCTGTTGATCTGCTTGCTTCAGTGTGCGAACATTGAAGGTGGCTAAGTAGACAGGCTTTCGGGGTTTGAAAACAGACTTCGGAGTGTTTAGGGTTGTAACTGAACTCGGACGTGCAGAGGCTGCAGCTGAGTGTGATGCAGGGCGAGCAACACGGTCAGTCCTAGAGCTGGGACCTGCGGAGAAAGTATTCGAATTTGGGTGGGGGAGGGTCGAAGAAGGAAAACTGATTCCAGAACATACTGCTTGCTTCCAGCAACGAACAATTATTGTTCCTAGATCTGAAAGCTGCCTTTGACTCTGTGGATTGTCAGGTTCTGTTGCATTGTGGAGTAATGGTATTCGAATTTGGGTGGGGGAGGGTCGAAGAAGGAAAACTGATTCCAGAACATAGACACTGCTTCCAGCAACGAACAATTATTGTTCCTAGATCTGAAAGCTGCCTTTGACTCTGTGGATTGTCAGGTTCTGTTGCATTGTCTGTGGAGTAATGGTGTCCCCCATAAATTCTTGACCCTCCTTAAGGCGCTGCACGCCAACTACTGGGGCCTTGTGAAGGTCTACGGGAGGCTGTCTTCTGAGTTGACCACATCAAGTGGTGCCTGACAGGGCTGTCCTCTTTCACCTTTCCTCTTTGACTTCATCATGGATATAGTCATGGAAGAAGACTCACTGTCAGCCTCCAATGCCTGTGGGGTCAAAGTTCTCCCCGGGGCGTCCGCTCACAGATATCGAGTACGCAGACGACATAGCTCTTCTTGGATCTGATTCCGTCGTAATGGAAGCAACACTGAATGATCTAAATAATTCCGCCTCACGGTTCGGCATGCGCTTAGCATCTCCAAAGTGTAAAGTGTTACTGCAAGACTGGATGGGCTCGAATTCTATCCTCATGCTTGAGGATGAACCGATTGAGGTAGTAGACAAATTTGTTTACCTGGACAGTTGTATCAGTCCCGGTGGTCACGCGAAGGATGCTATTTCCATGCGGATTGGGAAGACCAGAGCAGCTCTTGTGACCCAGGCGTGACACCAGCTTCTCTGTTAAGGGTTGAGTTTACCGTGCAGTGCGCTCCATTATACTTTACAGATCAGAAACCTGGCCGCTGCGCGCCGAGGATGTCTAAATACTTTCATTGTTTGATCATCGATGTCTTCGGAGCATTGTCCTAATCTGGTGGGAACACCGGATCAGCAATGCTGAAGTACGTCAAACGGTATTCAGAAGAAATAACTCACCCTCGACAGGTGGACTAATCTCACTGCATCGGTCGCGCTGGCTTGGCCACGTGCTGCGCATGCCAGTCGACCGACTTCATCGAAGGTTTCTTTTCGCACAACCAAGTGAAGGGTGGAAACGAGCCAGAGGCGGTCAAACAACGACTTGGCAGCGAAGTATAAAAGTGAAGCATCAGTTTTGAACACTGATGTCATGTTGTCGGTGATGATGATGATGATGATGATGAAGATGATGAAGTATAAAAGCTATTACCATCAAACTCAGCTGCGCTGATCATTGCCGTCTTCCTGGATTGGGACCGCGAGGCGGGCCACATTAATAGTTGGAGTCATTGTCAGGCATGACCTAGTCGTGACCCCAATGGCGCTCGTGTATCTAAGCTATTGCCTTCAAGTCATAGCTCCCTTCCCATTCCCTCCACTTGACAGTCCACTGACTGCCGTATTTACGCAACAATTTATCAGCTCCCGCCTCCATTGCGCAGCTATCTACCTCCCTCACATCATCGGTGAACAAAACTGTGGGGGCTACTACTACTGTATGACAAGTAGGCGGTTCTCACAGATGACAGTGATGATGATGATGATGATGATGATGATCTAGTTAGTTAGCATTTAATGGTCGTGTTCGTCCGGTATTATCAGTGCAGTTAGTAGCTTTAATGTGGTTTCGTCATTAGGTGTTTGGTGTAGCCATTGCTTTGCCTCATCCTGGGGTATCCCTCCAGGGAGACCATAGTTACCAACGCAACTGAAATGGTTTTTAGGAGCTTTCATACTTTGTTGCCAAGTCACGGAATGACTGCTCCTAAATCGTTTCAACCCAATACATAGCTGGTCTAATAAGGCTCCGCAAGACAAACAGCCTCCTGGGGTATAAGGTACATGTTAATCGAAGGTGAATGAACTTTCCCGAAGACCATCTGGTGTACCTCAGCGTCATCAATAAGAGATGACCTTATCGCGTTGGGACGATTTGTGCACCTCCATAACCTACTGAGCCTAATGTCTAATTAACCCAGTCATCTGGTCCTCCTGGTTGGGTGTTCGAGCCTGTGTGGTGACTTGCCCCTTAAAAACCTAGGCTGCTTTGACAGTAGCCCACCCCGTGTACAGCAATGGACGTCAAGTTCGCCGCTCCCTCTGTAATCCCTTTGTGGACTCCAACCCTGCATTTGCCCGCTGCTTTTCATTGCTATTTTCGAGTCTACACAGACCGCGCACAACTCAATCCATCATTAAGAAGCTCCTGAGCCCAGAAATCAATTAAGACTGTCAGAACTGACTCCTGCTGTCTGCCGGCTGGTCCGATATCAAATTTCAACGACCAGTGGAGCGATTTATGCAAAGTGCTACTCAATGCCGGAACTTATGTCGGTGGTACGACCTCATCCAAGCACTACAAATCCACGACTTTGTAACTGTGGCATCGAATTTGACTGATACTAGTCATTTATTAGTCAAATACTGATCCTTAATCCATCTGCAGTGTCTGTCGCTAGAAACAAGACACTCGCAATCTTTGAAAAGCTTGTCACTGATCGCCAAATGTAGGCACATACCCTATGGGACTTTCGTGGGGTCAACTCGTGCACTTATGAAAGTCAGTGGCAGTAAATTAAAACATTAAGCACGTTGAAACGTTTAACGGGGACTCTCCCCTGCAACAGGCTCCGGATACAGACCTCTCACTCGTTTGCTTGGGCATAATCGTTGATGAACTCTGAAGATAGAACCCTGAAAGGATTACGGTAAGTCAGTAATCTGGAGATGAACAAGAATGTACACATTGGTCGTGGTTTGCTCGCAGTCGGCGGAGTTAATAAAGGTTCGCATGAAATGTTGTTTCCTGAAATATTGATTGTAATACGCGAGCTTCCTTTTCGGGAGACTTCTTTGTTTAAAGAGAATATTTTACGAAGTGGAAAAATCTTGTGAAGTTGTACGTTGTTGATCAATGTAATTTAAACAGATGAATAAGTTACTCCTTTCCTAAACAGTGTTTTCGTACTTTACTTGTTTCACCTTGTAAACGGTCGCTTTTTGTCCATACTTTTCAGGCGACTTTTATAGATTGAGTAATCGTAAATCTTCAGAGTTCTTCATTGTTTCCCACATGGAGGTTGCTACAAGAGGTCAAATCACGTACGTTCTGGTTGATTATATGATGAACTGTTTTAGCATCCCGGAAACTGCTGAACCCCCTCGGTTATGTGTCTTGTCCGACTTCGATATAGGTCGGCAACTGGGCCGTGGAAAGTTTGGGACAGTTTTCCTAGCCAAAACTCGTGAAACCGGTTTTCTCTGCGCTATCAAGGTCGGTTAGTTTCCTTTCTCACATTCCTTAATCCTTGTACAGGTGATCTTTAAAAAACAGATTGTCAAGAACGGGCTAGAGCATCAAATTCGAAGGGAAGTTGAAATAATGAGTCACCTTCAGCATCCGAATATTCTTCAAATGTATACGTATTTTCATGACCACAAGCGTATATACTTGGTGCTAGAGCTTGCCTACTATGGTCAAATGTACAGCGATTTAAGACGACTCGGTCGATTTAATGACTGGCGCGCTGCAACAGTAGGTGCCGTACTTCTGACTCCTTCAACCTTCCTTTTGTTAGTATGTTTATCAACTGTGTGATGCCCTAATCTACTGTCACCGCATGAAAGTGATACACCGTGATATCAAACCGGAAAATCTTCTGATTGGTTTCAACCATGAGCTCAAGCTCTCAGATTTCGGGTGGTCAGTACACGCACCCTCCTTGAGGTAGGTACAGCGATGCGAGTACGCATCGTAGCTATGTGCAGATGTTGCTTTCATCACTTTTAAGTTGCAAATATTACATTGCCACCCTTCTGTATTGATCGACTCAGTACAGTAAGGGACAGACTGATAGTGACGATGAGTGTTTATTTCTCCCATATCTCGACCGCATAAATCGTTCCTCCCCTTCCTCTATTTAGTGAACGGATGTTATGCACTAAAACTGCTCTGCATTTGTTTTCAACCGCCCTGGTGACAGCAGCTGCAGTAAACTTGTCCACTCTTCACCAGCTGCAGGGGAGTGCAGCTGAACGGAGGCGAACAAACCATAAAGGATGATAGACCCATGTGTTAGTAGTTCAGCTGTAGCACCCTTCCGGTGGCTAACTGCCATGCTACCCGAAAGTTGCACGAGAGCTGGGATACTGCCAGGTTGCCCAAGCCTAGACAGGGGAAGTCGAGAGGCAGAGGTCGCGTTCGAACCACAGACCTTCTGGTCAGTGAATTCGCGCTCTAACCACCTGGGCCATCTCGCCTCCCCCATGTGTTAGTACAAATTGGTCTCGTCGTGCTTAATCGGCCGACCTACACTCGCCCATCTATGTATGCAAGAACGACGCTAATTCTGCAACTTCTTAGCACGGCACCACCAGGTGCTTCTTCATGCCCATTGCTTAAACAGCTCTACGGCCTCGTGCAGTGGATACTGCTTACGAGCCAAGCAAGATGTGAAGCGCCATAAATTGCGAATTCCTGTGAGACCGACGGTCGGCCCATTTTTATGATTGAAAGGAGCCGCAAAAACGCATAAATCTCGGGTGCAAGCATTTCATCTACTGCACCAGTAATTAAGTCGATCATATATTTTAGATCATTCCTTATATTCAGTGATACAATGCGAACTTATTAAGTACGGTTTAAGAAAGGAGAACTGTCGCTAGTGACCGAAACGTTAGTTCTTACTTCTGTGCAATCTTCAGCTTTGTTTGTGGTGCTCTATCCGGCTGAATTCAGTTGTTTTTCTCTTAGAGTTCACTAGTACTGCAGACGGTCGGATTTGAACCACGGTTGATGAGTCGGTGCCAACTGATTGATTAAAAATTTAAGCTGGCACATCCCTCCTTTACAGCGTCCAGCTCTCTCGAGCAGTCCGGTTAGAACCTTTTGTTAGAACATTTTGCACTGTACTACCTGGAAATGCTGACTGCGTCCAACTGTAATCACGTGCATTTGCAACAACAGACTTTCCTTTTCTGGCTCACAAAGAAAGGACAAAGACATGTAGAGTGGGATGTTAACATTTACTCTACGGCTATCAGCTCAGACCTGAAACGCGTAGGTTATGTGCAGGCGGACCGTTAGCTTTCTGCTCATTTCACCTTGATGCTAACGTTCTTTTGCATATAGTTCGTATGTTCTACCCTTGCATCCTGCGCCATTTGTCTTCCATCTGTGTGAACGAAGTTGTTAAACTGATCCAGCGAATTACACGTAAGAGTTCATCATTGGGTGAACGTAAAATGTTCGCCTTTCCGGTTTGCTGTTGAGTGACCTTTCTGCATCTCCAACAACGGTACACTGAATAGCCAGCCCATACTTTTGCCATCTCACCAAGTATCTCTCGTCATTCCCCACGTCAAATGTTTTCTTCACTGACGTGAGGACCCAATTGTGCCATGAAGTGTAGACACACCCATAAAGTTTGAGGCGCTGTGTGGAGTTAGCGTTTTTATTCAGGAATCGAGGTGATCAGACATGATGCACTCGACAGATTGACCTTTGACACTAAAAAAGGTGTTCCATCCCTTCGGTTTACTGTAGCGCACCTCATATGTTGACTGCTCAGTTTGATGTCTTCAGGAAGGCAATGGTCTCAAGTGCATTTGTACCGTTCACCCGCTCACAGCACTTCATCAGACCACTCTTTTTCGTGATTTCCTTAGCATATCGTTTGCCACAATATGGTGATTTCTGATATGCTTGCGCCGAGCTATCCGATCTCATTGTTTTCAGTGAACAGGCGTAAGCGAACAGAGCCAGCCAATAATGCTGGCATGCAAACTCAGGTGTCGGCCAGATATTCTTCTGTTTTTCCCACCATATAGTCGCATCATGGCACGATCCTTTTCAGTGGATGAGTAATATCGACCTCAGTCGCGAAAATGCAGTTACCTACTTCACTTTACGGTGACTCCGTCCTGTGACAGGATGAGCCGGTTTTATGGACGTCCCACGCCGGTACTACCACAAACACCAGTCGCAAGGATACATCTAGGTTTCCACTTGATAATCCGGTGACCAAAAGTAATCGGAAACAACCACCATGGTCGGTTGAAAGAAGCCTCAAATGATTGGTAGTTTGCCATACAGAAAACAGTATACACCGTTTTGCGGACGCAATATCTTAATAGTTTGGGTGACTGGTTGCCCTAATCGGTTGACCGCTGTTAGCTCGACTCAGACAAGTCCTTACAGACCACTTTGTACCAAAATACGTACTCAAGTGCCAGTGCGTTTTCCGCTCACTTACATTCCTTGCGCTTAGCTTTTTTATAATGTTTTTTGCTCTGCCTGCCATTACAGGCGCCGCACCATTTGTGGTACGTTGGACTACTTGGCTCCGGAGATGGTTACCGGAAAGGGGCATGATGAGCGAGTGGACCACTGGACCGTTGGAATTCTCTGTTACGAAATGCTCTGCGGGCACCCACCTTTCGAGCACCAGGAGACAAATGATACATATTCGTGTATCAAGGCTGTGAAGTATACATTCCCGTCCATCATCTGCTCCCTTGCTCAGGACCTGATTTCAAAGGTAAGCATGTAATCGCATATTGGGCTCTGGTGCACTCATTTAATTCAGTGGAACTATCTCCTGAAACGGGATTAGTCGGCTTTATAATTGTCTTGGATCATACTCGTTCAGCTGTAACAACCCTTCGATACATACCAACGGACAAGACTGTCGCCGTCGAACTCTGCCAGCCCACATTTTGTTCACAAAAGGACCATTTATGAATTTAGACTTCTCTAGTCTAGACAACCATCCTCTTCCAACAATCTGACCCAAACGCACCTCAGAATCAGATGTTCATGTTCATTAACATCTGAATCAAGGCAGGATATAGTCGCTAGAGTTTAAGAGACTGTCGTTCTAACACCTCAGACTGTCACATTTTATGATCCCACTGGCCCACTGAAATTAGTCGCTTACCACCCTTGTGTTGCGTAACATTCACAGGATTGTTTAATGAACTGAAAGTTTGAGCGCTCATGAGTCTTGCGGGCTCCGCGAGGTTCAACAACGATCTTCTTGGGAACAAAATAGGAAGCTTGTTCCGTAGAATTTTTTGGGTTCGTACAATTAGGAAACGGTCATCGCAAACTCTACGCCACACGATTCAGAATATAGGAATGTTTGGTGGAGCATAGACTACTTACCGTGCTCCAGTAGGTAGACTAATTTAATTAATTTCTATGTACAGCCGTTCTCGAGCATACTGTCCCACTAGTAACTGAAATTATGCAAAAGTCCCACCCGACCGATTTATAAGCCAAACGTTACTGGAGCGGCGTAACATGGTTAACAACGATGTTCAGGAGCAAGACATATTGAACCAATCAGTGGCTTGAACCAAAAGTGAATAGCCGGCGGCTAAGCTGCAGTGTGACGGCTTGTTTGGCCCCTTTAGGGGACGCGTGGAGGTTTTTCTGAATTGTCGGGCAAGTTTGTGACCCTTTCATCCACTATACGCTAGGTTGGATTATTTCTGATGGGTACAAGACCTATCGTTCAGTAACCCAATATGAATCTAGCGCGTTTCTTATCAGGATAATGAAATGGCTTCTCTATGAATTCCTAGCTGTTCAGTCCTACTAGCGCTATAGTGTTACATCAAGCGGTGTGGAGAAAAGAAAACGAATGAAGCTTGGGAAATATGTATACTGTACGATTGGCACCGGTCATGATCGCAGGGTTGGTATCAAAGGCAGCCCGACCCAAAGTTGTCACCTTATGGTAGTCAGGCTTCTGTGCTGCAATGATCCTGTGGGATACGCTGGCTGGAGCTTCGTTCCACAAGGTGCAACCATGCCAGGAAGGTAAACGGGGAGCTGCCCGACGAAGTACATTGAGTCCCTTTGAGTAATCGTATTACGAGGCGATCTTGAGGTCAAGTCGTACTGTCCTATGCGATAGGAGTGTGAAGGCAGTAAGGCACTCCCACCAGGCGACCAGCATGCCTATACTTATGGAAGCAGTGGTGCTGCCGTTTCCAGAGGAACGACAGGTTAGAAAAGGTCGGCCCCAAAAACCGCACACTCTGATCGCCCAACAGTTGATCGTGACCGCAGGCGCATTATTCAATACGGTCAAAATACTTTTAAAACCAAAGAGTCTGGTGCTGCCCAAAAGGCATCTTCTCTACGCAGCCGCATCAGGACTGAGACGGTAATGCCATGTTCACTGTGCCTTTAGGCCATGCCGGCCCCCTACAGCCAAGTAGGTCAGACTATGGAGTCCTTGGCTCCGGGAAGGGTCCTTCAAGAAACCCCCAACAACCGCTGCCTTACGGCCCAGATTCTCGAGTCAGAGGCTAGGGACAGAGTCCTCGAACAAAACCCTTCATCCTCCCACTGTCTTGTGAGTCAGACTTTGGAGTTAAAGGCTATAGGTGGGATACATCAACTAAACCCCCTTGTTCGGCCTGGGCAACCGGGAAACATCATTTGCCCTTGCAGCTCTTCGCTCACCGGCTTTCCCTCTCACTCCCTCCCAACCCATCGTACAGTGCAGTGCAATCAACCTATCTGCCAATTCTCTAGCCATTGTTCCGCGTCTCGACCATTGCCCAGAACAATAAACCAAAATAACCACCTAATAAACTGGAAAAAGGTCTGACCCACGTTGCAGCCTTAAGTGTCGGTACTCTAAGTCAAATTGGGCAAGAGGCATCCCTTGCTGAAACTTTGCTTTTCCTCTTTGTCGATGTATGTCGTATCCGAAACACGCATACAAGATCCCACTTCGGTGGCGCTCATCAAGCCGCTTAGGACGAGCCCAGATATTTCACGTTTTGCTTTTCGAGCATCCGGTGATCCAGACGCAATGGTTTGGCAGTTGCACTCAGCCTCAAGGCCGAAAGTGCTTTACCGGGCTGGACCCCAGTAAACAGTCGCCTTTGAGCTGTGTGGTTGTCTGGCTCAATTGAGATTAACGCAGGTTGATGCGGTAAACAGTGTTCATTTGTCGTATCAGCATACGCCCCAACAGATAGCAGTTCTGAGACTTACAAGGACGAGTTTTATCAAGATCTGTCACGACTGCTTCGGTCGGCAAGAAGGGCGGATATAGTACTCCTTGTGGGTGATATGAATGCCCAATTTAGACGACTAAGCCCTGGGGAGGCGCACTTAAGTAGTAGATTTGTAGTTGATGCTGGGGAGCGGCTTCTTCAGTTATATGTAGATCATCGTCTGTTCCTGGCCAGTACGAACTTCCAACACAAACGCTCACACCGAGTTACTTGGAGGCTACCTACCACAAGACAATCGTAGATTCAATCCGACCATATGGCTATCAATTACCGATGGAGAGCCCTAGTTAAGGATTGTCGTTCCTTCTTGGGTACGCAACTTGACTCTGGTTACGCCATCGTGCGAGCCCATTTAGCACTTCGCTTTCCGCCAGCACTACGCATGCCGAAAGGGAGCAGCTCCGTTCATCAACTTCGACAAGCTTCAGTAGCTGAGGAGTATGGAGCTGATCTGGCTAGAAAGCACAGTCATGTGGACGACGAAGTGTTTGCAGGATGAATGGAGGCGAGTTAAAGAAGCGATGCTCTCAGCTTTCAGAATTGTTTGTCCAACCTATCTGACTCGACTCAACGAACACCGGATAGCTTCGAGATGAGCAGATCTTATTGCTGCCAGAAAGGCGATACCATCAACTAGCTAATATGACGGCGCATGCAGACCTCTCAAAAACCAGATAATCAGGAGCTTAAAGAATGATAGAGAATGCTGGTGGATTTCGAAGGTCCGGGAGATAGAGAAGGCCTTCACTGCAACCAGCAGCAGCACCCTGTTTCAAATGATCCGGTGAGACAATAAGCCAAAAAGACGGAACGGCAATTCACTCCTTCAGTCATCGTCTTGAGCGATGGGCTGAGCACTTTCAAGAACAGTTAACCTGGCTTTCTTCAGCACAACCGCTGGAAGAACCGAGCGGGACCGAATGGAGCATTGACACCGACCTACCGTCAGCAACCGAAGTACAGCGTGAGATTTCAATCCTGAAGGGCGACAGGGCACCTGGCTCGGATGATCTACACCCCGTGCTCTTCAAAGGTGGCGAGGTCCTGTTGAACGGTCTGACAACCATACTGTAGAAGATTTGGAACGAAAACAGAATACCAACCGAATGGAGCTCCTCGACCGTCATCCAAGTTTTCAAAAAGGGCACAAAAACGTCATTAAAAACCATCGTGCTATCCGCCGCATCTGAAGTGCTCTCTGGCATTATTTTACGCAGGTTGATAGATTATCGGGAGACCCACAGTAATGCTGAGGTACGCCAGATAGTCTTAGGAAGAAGGAACTCTCCCACAATAGATGAATTAATCACGGTTCATAGGTTGCGCTGGTTGGGACATGTAGTCCACATGCCAGGACACAGAGCTCTTTTCCCACTCAGTCGCTGACTGGAAGCGACTGAGAGGTGGACAGTGTATGACCTGGCAACAAAGTACGAAATCATTAACTAGTAAACTTAGTCGGGTGGGCAACTGAAGCCTCCCTGAATAAGGACCCCGGGATTGGTTCGAACTGATCTTATCCTCGACGGAATCGTTAGCGTATGTAGAAAATTGAACTTTTTCCCAAGAAATATGTTCCAATCCAATCGTCTACCGTTGCTTTAGGCGTAAACCAGAATAGCCATTAGTTTGATCCTGAGCTTCACGTCTCTCCCTCTGGTGATGGTTCCCGTTTGTTTGATTAGAAGAAAACGACTGGCTTCGTATGTCTCCTGGTTGCTAATATCCAGGTAACCTGTGAATTAAGGTTCGATCCTGTCTAAACATCTTCTAGTGGGATTCACCCCTGAGTTTTTCCTTCGTCTGTTCAGACCCTGGTGAACAAGGCACCCCAGCTGCATTGTTCGATTGTTGTTGTTTGATCGATCGATCATAGAAATTATTGTGTCGCACGGATAACTGCTTCGTTTGCTATGTCCGAACCTATGGGTGTAAGGGTTAACGCCAAAGGGTTGAACAGCAGTCTTCCAAAGCTTTCTTAAAACTAACGCCATTTATTAATTGCTCTCTCACACGGAAATATAACTAAGGTACCTACTTCATTTTGGAAGTACTGAGTGTATCGGTTTCCCCCGACGAACAATCTTTTTGATTTGGTCCTCACAAAGTGTGCGATTAGTTGCAAAGGTGTTCTGCTTTTGTTCTTAATTCTGAACATTCTTCATGTTTATCATCCTACGATGACTAATCAAGTGAGAAACCCGTGGCGATGCGATTGTTCTAACCTTTTCGAAGTTTTGGTATCGTATTGATTTTGCTTTACCCTAATCTTTCCTACTGTGCAGAGGTACAGGCACAAGAGGAGCAGCGACACAATTATAATGTCATGCACCGGAATCCCATTTTCATCCATTTTTTTCCGCACACCTCGATCAATGTGTGCTAATTGTCATGTTGGCTACTATCATGGTTTTTTTCTTGTACTGTGTCTGATTCTCTCCCCAAATAGCCAGTTAGTTCCAACCAGCAAAAGCGTTTTTCCGCTTTAATGTACCTCGATTAGAACAGCTGCTCTAGTTGCCCCGCGAAAACCTTTTCACCTTGACATTTGTTCCCTTTTAGCTGCTCTCCAGTAGGCTAACTCCGTCAGATAAGTTCACTAATAATCTCTAAAGGGGCTCACTTGTTTGGTCACTGTATTTTGGCACATAACTGCTTCGATGCAGCCGCCGTACATTATTAAGCCCATCGTATTGCGAGGAGAGTTTGTACTTCTCAGCTGAGATTTCGTCATGTCAGTGAGGTCGATCCATGCGGAAAAGCTGATGGGCACTGAACAGCTGTCTCGTCCTTATAGGTAACTGTCAACCGTGTGCATCTCTTAAAGGTCAGAGAGTTTCCAAACCGAAACCTTCCGAGAAGAGGTTGAAAACCGTGGACTGAACGCCCAAGTATTCAACCATTGTCCAGAATGCCACAGGTTCCATGAGGTGCGCACTGCTGTGGGTTCTAGTAGTGTTCTCTTTTGTTAACGACAAAAACCACTTGATAAATCAGAAGGCAAGAGACACTAATGAAGCCTGTGTTTTGAGAGTGTGAGGTTACAACAACTAGGTGCACCTTAATCAAGTCATATACAATACCAAAAATAAAAAGGTTCAAACGGAGGATTTATCGTTCTGAGTGTAAGTTGCAATAGTTCCTCCGAGTTCGTTTGGGTGCAGGTGGTCGCGTTTCTTTTGGCAGATTCACTGCTACACGCTCTCGGTTGTCCGCATTTTTTGGTGTGTTGAGCCGGTCTGTGTTCTGACGCACGCGTGATGCGTGTGTGTGTGTATGCGGTTGATCGTGTTCTGTCCTTATATATATATGTCGTTGCAATGAGTGGAACGTGATTGTGAGACAGGCAAAATGGAATGGGGGTAGTAGGTGCCGGTGTGAAAGTGATTAGAGGAATAATTAAGCAGAAGGGTAACCGTTACAAATACTCCCCCATTAGAGAGGGATCATATAGGCGCTGTCATCAGTCGAGGTTGCAGACAAGTCACGTGTTGTCTCGTGATGTTGTGGGATGTGAAAGAAAACAAAGCACGAGGGAGACAGTGGATGCGAATGCATTGATCAGATTGGGCAACCGCTACAGTTCCCAATAAGGATGAGACAGCTGTACGGTGCCTATCAGCTTCCCCGCATAGATGAGCCTCACTGACAACACAAAATCGCAGTTGAGTATCAAATTTGTTGATACTATTAATGTTTTTTCATGGTACTTAATGGTGCAACAACTGATCACCGTCACAGTAACAGTATGGGAGTATGGATTCAACATGGTCATAGGTATGAATTAGTTGCATACAAGATCTTTAGGGAATGCTTTCGAGTTCTTTGTTTGAACTTTGCTAGTCTTCAATTCAGCTATCAAACAGACACGTATCCAGCCGATTTCATCCTCATGAGATTGGCAGGTCGCTTTTGCTAGTGAAGTTTACTGCTATTGTTATTGTGTAACTGAAATTTTTTAATCTTATCCCCATGTTTCCCATATAAACTCTGACTTTCATTCGTTCACTACCCTCCAGATCCTGAAGCTTTACCCAGCCGATCGACTGTCTCTTCAGGGTATCATGGCACACCCATGGACGCAGCAGTATGCGGACAAGACGTTTAGTCAACGAGCACGTAGCAGGCGTTCTCCGAGTTGATGTTGATGCCTCGGTTTAAGACAGATTTTCCTCGTGTGTGACTCGTGTTTATACCTATTTTGACTAGACCCAACGTGCATTTATTGTTACTTGTATAGGCTACCAGCCTACACTCCTCTTATATGTTTTCGCCTTCAGAGACCGAGTGTTGAAGTCGTTGTTTTAAGCGAATCTTCTGTTTCTGAACACTGTACAACACAATTCTGGAAGCCTATTGATATTAAATTTTATGCCCTCCACATTTCTGGTGCCTACTGTCAGAGGTTGACGTCGGGCGAAACGATGAAAGCTTTTGCCACATGCCAAAGACCGAAGTTCAGTTTATCCCGAAATATCGCTTAGTTCCGGAGTTCTCTCTGTCAATGCGCTGCGGACGTTCGGAGTTGTTTCAAAAACGAGAAGTTAGATCATGTGAGCGTCCCCAGCGTACGTGAACGTTAAATGTAGTGTGGTTTACGGTAGTTGATGTATCCACTTCCTGCGTTTCTTTTACTACATATGGCCTGTACTACGTGCTACTGCCTTGTTTCCTGTTGCGGCTCATCAAGCGGGTAGAGTCCAATAACATTTGAGGTCATCGCTTCAACATCTAAGCATACGTCATAATAGAAATCCCGGCAGTATGATGGTTACTGTACAAGCATGTTGCTGTCGCGTGCGGGGCTCTTGAAGTTGGCTGCACTTCCAGTGTTTCTTTGGAAATTTCACATAAATTATTGCTTGTCTGAACTTCACAGTGTGTGAATAAACCACGCTCAAGTCTGAGTGCCCCCCACACAACTCTTTTGAAGTCTTTTCGTGCTGTTGGACATCAAACCTCTTCATTGATCATGAAGTTCCGCTGAAATCCCTCTGTCTACTTGTTCCACAATACAGCCTCATGTGATGTCGACCAGTCTATGATTCGTTTTCAGCCGGTCATCTTATTGCCTCGCTCGCTATTTGCATTATTGCCAGTAGCCCAGATAGATTCGGTATTTTCCAACGTAAAATCGGTTAGGTTACCTCTCCAACGTGACGCTAAATTAACTGCGTTTCGCTATAAACAATTCTGTGTCTTTCAGTCCATAAATCGTCTCCATCACGACCTTTGACTATCGCGTGCACTTCACAATCTACTATGAAGGCCCAAAATGCACTTACTCACATGATTCCCCGGCAAGGTATACTGAGCGTGTTGCACGTCTGCTTAAGATGAGTTGTTTTTTTTCCCTGATTGCCACTTTTTCATGCCATAATTGTCCTATACCGTGAACGTGTTACCGACTGTCTCAAGTTCCGTTTTGATATAGACCGCCCGCTTGATACCAACAGATGTGTTACCCCAAACAGCTAGAAATAGATAGGAAAAAGGCTCTTCAGCCCGGAAAGATGAGGAATAGGTCTCAGTAATGAACAAAAAATCTGAAACACCTTTTCGGTACCTAGATGCTATGTCACTCGAAGGAAGCACGACGCGACCAGGTTGCTCAAGCCTAGACAGGAGAAGCAGAGACGCCGGAGTCGGGTGTGAACCAGGGATTTAATGGTCGAGCTCGTAACCGGACTGCAGCCATCTGAGTGACTTTTTTTGTACTATTACGATGTTTGGAAATGGAATTTGCCGGGAGATTTGGAATTCGATAAAGCAGACAGGATAATTGATCTCCGTGGTACCCTGAAGTCCATAGATAATCGCGGGTTCCTTTTCCATGTTTCTCTCAACCGCTGACTCAGATCACTTCTGTTGATCCCGGCAAACTGTCAATAAGACATGTGATCTTGATTCTTGTTGGGGGAGTCTCCATTTCACTATCCGAATCTTTCGGTTTGTGCTGATTATCCGATAATGCAAGTATGCATGATACCCAACCCAAAGATTAATTTAGGTAACCGTAACCCGGTCCTTCCTCGAAAGATTGTGTTGAAAAACTGGCCTCATGCTAGACGAGT